AAAACAACAAAAACAACATCATTTACAACAACAAAAACAACAACAACGTATAATAAACAAGTGTAATCAAACACAAAACAGACATTGTGTTCAAATTTCGCACACCTTTTATTAACACACACACACACACACACACACACACCTGAAAGACGACCACCATTTTTTTTTTTTTTTTTTTTACTTTTTTTCTTTCTTACAATTCATAATTTCTTCTTCTTCTTCTTCTTCGTTTAAGGCCTTGAACTAAACTAACAATAAAAACATAGTCTATGAAATTTTTCCTAGATTCTTGTATACGTGTGGGGAGGCAAAAACAAAGAGAGAGGTAGATAGATAGATAGAGCTACAGAATTAGAGAGAGAGAGAGAGAGAAAGGAAAAAGCAGAGAGAGAGAGAGAAAGGAAAAAGCAGAGAGAGAGAGAGAGAAAGAGAAAGAAAAAAGGATAAAACCAGACCAAATTCCGGACACTTACCACCGAATCGCGTATAATCGCGACGTCTCATATAACACGAAAAAAAAAAAAAACGTCATCGAAAAATCATTATTATTATTTGTTTCAAAAAACCCCGTCCCGATTATTAAAAAAAAAACAAAACTGTCGAGTGATGTTTACACGCCACTGAACATAAATTAAATAAATAAATAAATAAATAAATATATATGTAAAGTGTGAACAACACATTCCACCATAATAAAAGCACAGAGTCAGCAGTAATAGTAAAAATTCCCACAAATGCCTTACCAACATTTTCATATAAAAATATCATCAATATTATCGACATGTTTTTTTTTCTTTTTTCCGTTTTAAATGTTCGAGCCGTACACAGTGAAAACATACGCAAAAAAAAAAAACAATTTCAATTTTATATATATAAAATAATTATTAATTTAAAAAAAAAAAAAAAATGACGTCATAACGAAAATTCATTAAAAAAAGAAATCCGCGACAAATGGTGTGATAAACAACAACACCACGTGAGAAACAATTCCGAATGATTGATTGATTGATTGACTAAAAAGTTTTCACTGTATACGCAACATTTAAAAAAAAAAAAAAAAAAAAAAAAACTTTTGTATTTTAATATTATAAACGACAAATATATATGTAATGTAAAGAGCGAGATTCGGCCATTACCATCAACCTGAATTTTTCATTTGATAATTATTTTCTTATCACCACCAAAAGGTATAAAAAGAGAGTGTAGAGAGTTTTAAAACAAAAAAGATGCCAAGAGCCCAAATCGGTAAAAACAAAAAAAAAAAAAAAAAAAAAAACATAAACATAAAAAAAACACATTAGAGAGCACAGACCAAGCTTTTAAAAACATAAAATAAATAAATTAAAGTAAATGTAAATTATGTAACTGCCTCATTTCAATTTCAATTTCAATTTCTTTTTTTGGTCTTTGCTTAGTTTTACGGCGATGATAATAATAATAATAATAATAATAATAATAATGAAACGGACAAGTTTTTTTTTTTTTTTTTGTAAATGGTAGTAATTAAAAGAAGAGAGTTGTAACACAATCGTGTCACTCCGCAGTTAATCGATAAAGTCAACTTTGTAAATAATAATAATAATAATAAACAATCATCATCATCATCATCGTGTTTTGATGTTTGTTTGTTTTCACAATTAACTCGAGTGACACGATCAGTGTTTCCCCTTTCTCTCTCTTTTTTCTTTTCTTTTTTTTTTTTTTTTTCAATTTTTATTTTGACCAAAATGTCAGCTTACCTTGTGGAACTTGCTCAGTCGCATCATCCGGATTTGAAGGGCCAGCATTCATATCGAAATCGTTTTCATGTGATCCGTCGCCTGGAGATGAAAGAAAAGAAAAGAGAAAAAAAATCAATATCCGGTTTATATTGTAAAAATGACAAATTTTTTTTTTTTTTTTTCTCTCAACAAAAACAAACATGTTGTGTGTGTGTGTGTGTGTTTCAACTTTCCTGGGTTGAATAATTGTCTAACACAAATGACCCTTATTTTTTTTTTTTGTTTTTTTTTTTTTTTTTTGTTATCAACTTACCGTGTAACTAAACCTAAACAACTTTTTCGGTAACTAGGCACACATCAAAAAGCTACATATTTGTGGTAAATGACAGAGCACTCGGTCGGGCAAAGAGCTACGTTACACGTTAGGCAAGCATATTTGACTTCTTTACGTATTTTCATTTTAGAACAAACTCGGCATTTTTGTTTTTTGTCCCGTAAAACGAGGGAAAGATTCAATTTTGAATTTAATTTTACTGACGCCTCCCCCCTCCCTCTTTTAGTTATGCAAGTTGACTTTAACCCATAGTTATCCTCGTCATCTCGCCAATCTAAATTCGGTATTAGAAAACCGGTTTTAGATGGTTTGCTTTTTTTTTTTTTGTAATATCCAATATATAATATAATGAGGGATGATTGATTCTTCAGCTTTTTTTTTTTTTTTTGCAGCGCTTTTAATTTTTTTTTTTTTTTTTTTTTTTTTTTTAAAAAAATTTTAGCATAGGCGTGCGCATTTTTATATATATGTATACGTAAAAGCCAAATATTGCGTATATTTTTTCTTAATACATTTGTCACATGTCTTGCCTTCACGCGAATGTTAAAACGTAGAATGAAAAATTTTTGCCCTCCCCAAAACTCTCATAAATTTTAATTGCATTTTTTTTTTTTTTTTTTAAATCTCTAATAATAATTTACAACAACTAAAATTTATTGCTGAAATGATGGTTATTAAAACAATTCGAAAGCCTCTCAAAACAATTTTCAATTTGACTACCACAAAATGTATATGTAGAAGACATATCGATAACCCAAAAGTAAAAAAGAAAATGTATGTACACAGGGAGTAGGAAAAAAACAATTAACGAATTACACACCTCACACTAACAGGCTTCATGTTACTAAATTCCTAATTAATAATAAATAATTTTGTTTCGAGAAAAAAGAAAAAAAATAAACTGTTAGATTTAAACATAATTCAACCCAGGAAAATGTTTTTTTTTTTTTTTCAAAAAGGTTTCGACAAAGCAATGTATAAACATACAACAATTAATTACCTGGGTCTTCTAATGTGTTTTCAAAATTAGAATCATCAAATTCCTGGTGGTGGTGGTGGTGATCTTGCTCCTGTTTCGCTCCCTGTCCTGCTATTAATTGTACTAAAGGGTCATTTACATCATCATTCTCATCTATTAATTGTATTTCTTCTGGATCTGGGATTTCTTGCTTTGGATTTGCTAAAGGGAAGGGTTGGGCACTTGAACTACTAGGGGATGGCATCACAGATTCAGTCTTAGGAGAAGGTGCTCTAAAAATCAAAAGAAAAAACAAAAAATACATGATATGAATTTTTAAAAAAATTTCAACAATATTAACCAAGGTCAAAGCATAAAAAAAAAAAAAAAAAAAAAAAAAAAAAAATTATACTTCAAATATAAAAAACAAAACAAAATGAACAAGCATACCTTCGCTTTTTTCTTCTGGGTTCTCCTCCCCCAGAATTTAGATCAGTGTCTCCGGGATCATGGTCATCAGATTCAAATACTGAAGTTTCTATTACTTTTTTCTTTTTAGGAACTTGTGGTGCAGATGACTTTCTAGAAGCTTGTGAAGATGGTGGAGGAATGTCATCATCCTAACAAACAAATAAATCTTCGAGTTAATATACCGATATCAAAAAAAATGAAAAAAATTAAAACATGTATCCGATATTTGTTTTGTTCGTACCTCAGCTCTGTCTCCCGCTAAGCCTTTTACTTTTAAAGTTTCTGCCAACTTTAAAAATGCTGCTAAGTCTTCTTGCCGAACATTGGCTTCTCCCCTATACATAAAGTCTAACATATCAGCCATTTCTTGGTGCCCAACATCTTTTAATATGACTATGGGATGCTGGCACGGGTTAACCTTTAAAAAAAGAAAGAAAAATCAAATTTTATTATTTTTATTTCGCTGAAGTAAATTAAAATAATTTAAGATAATGATGATAATCAAAGCAGGCAAAATTTAAAATGATCATCAACGATGTGTAATAGGAAATGAAAAATGTTACATTACAAATATTGTAATACTAATCATCATTGCATTTAATTATTGATTCAAAATGGCAGCTTTTAAACGACAGTGTGTGAGTAAAAAAAAAATTAAACAGTTCCCGGGGTTATCGACCAGTCAAAATATAAATTTTTTAACATATGCTAAACATATAAATGACTAAATGCGACAACATTGGATCGATGAAGCCACGCCAAGCAACGCAAAGCGCAGCCAAGCCAAGCCAAGCCAAGCCTAGCCCAGGAACGACGCCATTTTAAAAAAAAAAAAAAAAACTCGGAAGCTCACAATTCTCGTATCGTACAAACACATATAATTATTATTATTAATTATAATTAATTAATTAATTAATTATACACCACGACAAAAAAAAAATTATACACTTACTTTAAAGAGATCTTTAAAATAGGGACTGCAAACTGATAATATTATTTTATGGGCGTGTAATATTTTTCCTTCGGCGGCTAATGTGACATCCACCATAGTTTCTTCTTGTAAAAGATCGTGAAAACCTGTCGCCAGATTTGACTGAAAGTTGTTCCATTTTAAAGAAAATTGGTCATCTATGTTATCCTATAAGAAACAAAACAAATTCTTTTTCAAAACACCACACAACAATCACTTTATACAAAACACTCCGATGACCGATTGATCATTTAACTTTTATCACTTTGAGTAAAAAAAAAATAAACGATAATAATAATAAAATAATAATAAAATAATAAGAAAAAAAAGAATAGGGAAAGAGTGAGAGAGAGAGAGAGAAAAAAGAAAAATGGTAGGAAATTATTATTATTAAAACAATGTCTCACCATGTTGCTTGTTAAGTAATTTCCACCGTCTGAGGGAGAGTCGACAGCGTCATCGAGTTTTGTTGCATTAGCCGACAAAAAGTTTGTGTGTGATAAACATTAGTGCAGAACCGAACTACCTGATATTAAACATAAACCATAAATACATAAATTATTTATTTATTTTTTTTAATTATTTTTATGCACTTATTTATTAATAAATTAAAACTTATTAATAATTTTTATTAATAATAAGGAAAAAAAACTTTTTAATAATAATAATAATAATAATAATAAATTTTATATACATTTTAATACTCGGTTACTTTTTATTTTAATTTTTATTACTCTTGACGTAATTAATAATAATAATAATAATACTATAAACGTTAAATTATACATTTCTTACGGCTTTAAACCGTTAATATTAATCACGTGATAATAAATACATAATAATAATAATTTATTTAATTAATTAATTAATTAATTTTTTTTTATCATTCGTCGTTGTCCCGAATCAATTAAATTACGTTAAATATTTTTTACCTTTTTTTTTTTTTAAACGTTAATAAATTATTATTAATATAAAAAAGATTTTATTAAAATAAATAATAATGATAATAATGATTATTAATAATTAATAAAATTAAAAATGTTTGAAAAATGAAAAATTTATTATTATGATAATTATTATTATTATTAATGTGTCGGTTAGTGCTTTTATCAGTTAAACATTAAAATCATTGTAAAGAGCAAATGATTGCTTTTTAGCCAATTGAAATGGTTATGTATTACGAGCCATTTGTATAACAAAAAAAAATATATATGTATGTTATTTATTTATTTATTTTTTATTGTTTTATACATTTAAATAAAATTATTTTATTAATTTATAAATTAAAATATATGTATATTTAATAAATTATAATTTTAATCGTGAATAATAATGAGTAAAATTATGAGAGAGAGAGAGAGAGAGAGAGAGAGAGAGAGAGAGATAAATAATAATAACTATTAATTAATTGTTTTTTTTCTATTATTATTATTATTATTATTATTATTATTATTATTATATGATATTTATATTAAAATTAAAAATTAATGGATTTATTATTTAAAACGTTTTTTAAAAAAAAAAAAGAAAAGTTAATACGATATTTTCTTGTATATATGTTTTTCTATATAAAAAAACTATTTTTTTTTTTAGGTTTTATTTAACGCGTAGAATCGTTATTGAAGTATTAGAAAAAATAAATTTAAAAAGAAATTTTATTTATTCTTACGTTTATTAACAAATTAAACTAAAAAACTAAAAAATTATCACTTTCCGTTTGAAATAAAAAAAAAGTTTACATATTATTTCACGCCATCTTTATCACTCACTTAAATGAAAAATTATTTTAAGTTTTTTTTCTTCTAATTATTATTTTTTAAACTTGTTAATCAAAAATTAAAACTTTAAATTAATTATTCGTTTGAAATAAATATCATTGCGTCCTTTTTTATTTCATTTTCTTTTTTAAAAAAAAAATAAAATAATACGATTTTTTTTCCCCTTTCCCGACGAAAAGTTCGAAACCGCCAAAAAAAACGTTATAAATTTTTTTTGGCAGTCACCACGTCGTTAAATTTTATCCAAACTCTGACATTTCTTTCATTTACATTATCATGTTTATAATTTTCAATCTAGTTGCACAATGTTTGGGTCACATTTATAACTTTTCCTATTTCCGATGCATTAATTACGACAATGATTAATTATAATAAACAATTTATTAAAAAAAAATTTACTCGTAATTTTTTTCCCACTTGAAAAACGTTCCACGAAACGTGGGTATTAAAAAAATACCTTTTCGAGAAACTGAAATTGTGTACACTGAGAATAACCCACCATATATTTAAAATAACCTATGTTTACATTATTAAGTTGGCAATTATGTTTAGTTGCAAAATGAAGTCGGGTCAAAGCAAACAAATAATATTGTTTTTATTCCATAAGTTTAGGTAATTATAAATTCCGTGTATATTAATTCCAACAAATTAAATAAAATTTTTTAATTAAACACCGGCCGAGTATTATATAATTATTACAACTTATTCTACCTTACGTTACTCGAATACATATATAATATTGAAACAACCTTAAAAATATAAACATAAAAAAAAATTTTTTGATTTCCAAAATTATTCTTTTTTTTTTTTTTATCATTCATTTAAAAATTCTTTAAATATACTTTTTTCTTTTATTTATCTATCACTCAGATAGAATTATAAATCTACTAAAATTCTTAAATTTTACTTAATAAAAAAAAATCAAAGTATAAAATTTTAGTTAGTTGGTTTACACAAAGTGATTATTATCATTTTAGTTATAAGTGATTGAAAAGATATATTTTCGTGACATTTAGTTAAATACTAGTCAATGATAAGACGGTTTAAATTGTCTGATAATAATAATTTACCAATACATTTACTCATTTGGTAAGTTTAAATTCATTTAACTATAAGTAAGTAATAAAAAAAAAAAAATTTTTTTAAATGAATTTTACAAATAACAATAATAATAAAAATTGACAAGTTCAATTATATTTTTTGTAGATATAAAGAATAACAAAAAACAAAAATCTTATATTTTATAATTATATTATTTTAATTAAATAAATTATAAACATATTAATTACCATTAGAAATATTTTTTTTAAAATTTTTATTTAACAGTCGCATTTATTTATTGTTTGTGTAACTTTTTTTTTTTTTTTTTTTTCAATAATAATAATAATAAAAAAAACAATTGATAAGATTAACATAATGAATTATGTAATAAATATGTTAAAAACATATTTTTTTTTTTTTTTTCCATTTAAATTATTCGCTACTGCCAAATGATAACAATTTAATTTTAAATTTATTTAAATAATTGAAAAAAAAAATTTGATAGCATGAAGGAAAATCGACTACGAATATCTCATTACATAAACAATATTACCTTTTTTATACCAGAATTAATAAAAAATTTAATTTTTTTTTTAACTTATCATATCCATAAGGTCAAGGTTATCATTTTGAATTCAATACCTGACACAATAAACTCAAGTCGATTATAAAATAAATTTTTTTTTTTACAAAGAACAAATACATTTTATTAAAAAAAAAAACTTTTTCAAGGTTTAAGGTACATAATTTTTACCAAACATTAACCTCACGTTTCGAATTCCTTAATTTTTTTGTCTTATCGACAACTTTATTAATTATTATTATTATTATTATATTAATAAAAACATTTAAAATTTTATAAATAATAATAGGAAAAATTAAAAATTTATGTAATTAATAATAATAATAATAATAATAAAATAATAAATTTTTTATAAATTTTGCAAGTTGAACATTCATTTTCCTTTTTTTTTTTTTTTTTTTTTTTTTTTTAACCTTTGCACCTTTTCCTGCTTTTTTGATTTTATTTTTTAAAAAAAAGGTTTGGGCATTTGTTTTTTTTCTATATTTTGTGACCTGTTTGCTTATTTCGATTCCAGCTTTAAAGTCATTATTATTATTTTTTAAAATCCCACAAAATTATTATTATTATTATTTTCAAAAAAATTTCTTTTTTTTTTTTTTTTTTCATTTTCATTTTCATTTTTCCTTTTCCTTCTCTTATTTTCTTTCTTTCTCTCTGCCTTTCCAAATCATTAGTAACAATAGGGAATAGGAGGAATTATCATTCGAATACAAGATGGAGTTCATTAAGATCTCCAATATGGGATTTTTATGTTAAATATCCGGATATGTCAATTTGTAAAACATGCGGTTCTGTTTTGAGAGGATCAAGAATAAATAGCAATGCTAAATATCATTTGAGAGCACTTCATCCTGAATTGTTTGTTATTTTCCAAGAGAAAAGAGGAGAATGGTTGTGTAGAAGAAAAATGAAATTCAATTCAACTTCATCTTCAACTTCTTCGATTAAAAAATCACATAATTAATAAGGGAAAAAAATTATTATTATTATTATCATTGTTATCATTTTTAGTTGATTTAGGGGTAAAAAAAAATTGTACAGGTACAATACATATATTTATTAAAAGGGTTTCATTTTTTTAAAATTGTTATTAAATTTGTTTTATATATTAAATATAATTTATTACTGTTGTAATTTTATTTTATTTTTTTAAATTCATTCATTTATTATTATTATTATTATTACTAATATTATTATTATTATTATTATTATTATTATTATTATTATTATTATTATTATTATTATTATTATTTTAATTAAATTCAATCCTTAATTTAAAAAAAAAAAAAAAAAAGGGTACATATTAAGATTTTGGGTAAGAAGAGTAAGAAATGTTAAGAAAACATTTGTTTGTTTGTTTATACGTGATAAAAAAAAAAAAAATCCATAGAGTAAATAAAATTTAATAAATGTCATATTGTTTACATATATTATTTTACAACAAAAAAAAAAATTATTATTATTATTATTATTATTAAATTTAAATAAAATTTAAAACATTTTAATTTTTTTTTTTTTTTAAATTTTTTTTTAACGATCCTTATCCACACTTTTGATTTGATTTTTTTAACGAGTAAATTATTATTATTATTATTAATAATAATTATCTTATTTTTATCTATGTTATCTATATTTTATCTAAGGTCAATTTTTCTTATCAAACGAATATTATTAATATTCGACCAAAAAAAAAAAAAAAAAAAACATTCGTTTCTTATTAATTTATTTTATTTTATTTATAATAATAAATTATTATTATTATTATTATTATTATTATTATTATTTAATGGAAATCCATTATTTTATATCATTTTACAATTTTTTACATTAAAAAAAAAAAAAAAAAAAAACATGGCGATAAAATTATTAATATATTACCGCGATAACATTTATATTATTGATAAGAGTTAATATTATTATTATTAATTATGGAAAGCGAATCGGCCATTTTTTTTTATTAATACATAATATATATATATTTGTTTATTTTTTTTTTTTTTTTAGGTTGGAACATAATATTACAGAGAAAATTACCTTTGCGTGCATTTCCATGCACGGATTGCACGAGCAGTTTTAAACACAAAAGGCATTTAACTTATCATAGAAAATGGGAATGTAATAAACCGGCCATATTTCCATGCGAAATGTGTAATAAAAAATTTAAGACTAAAAATCGAAGGAACGAACACGTCAGAAGGCTCAAACATTTCACAATGTGTTAACGAACCTTTTTATTCCCCCCCCCTCACTTCTCACCCCTTCCCTACCCCCTCACCTCCCTTTTCATTATTATTATTGCTGTTATTATTTGTACCTTAAAAAAACAATTGTATGAAATGCAAAAAAGAAAAAAAAAAAAACGAGCTTATGAGCTAATACTTATGTTGTTTTGCCTCATTGTTAGTCATAATAATAATAATTATTATTATTATTATCATTATTAAAATAATTATTTATTCGTACCTATATATATATTTAAAAATTTATTTGGTTGCTTTTTTTTTTATAATTATTAAAAATTTCGTCAATTTATTAATTAACGTACTCGATTATTATTATTATTATTATTATTTTAAAACAAATTTTTTTACATTATAAAATCGATCAAAGTTTAATAAATGTATTATTATTATTATGTAACTATTAATAAAAAAAAAAATAAATAAATAAATCACAAAATGTATATATATATATATATATATTAAATAAAATCCTTTATTGTTTGTTTGTTTGTTTGTTTGTTTGTACGTATTTTTTTTTTCTTATACAAAAACCAATATTATTGTAAAATATGTATAAAAAAAAAAGAAATTTTTTTATTTAATTGTATTATTATTATTATTTATTTATTTGTACAAATTCCGTGTTTGTGTTTAAAAAAAATATTTTTTTTTTTTCTATGTAATTAATCCCCGATTAATAAATTATTACGTTTTAAAAAAAATTATTTATTATCATTATTATTATTTATTCAAATAAATGTTTTATTTTCCCCTCTTTTTATTATTATTATTATTATTATTATTATTATTATTATTATTTAATAAAAATGTTATTTAAAAACACACGAAGGTATAAAATTGAATACTCCTCATTTATTTTTATGTAAAATATAAAAAAGAAAATAATAATAATAATAATAATAATTTTGTCGTTTTTTTAACTTTAAATATTAATTTAACGACGATTACATTTAAAAAAAAAAAAAAACCAAAAAAAAAATTAAATTAAATTTTCAGGTTCAGGTATTAGGAAATTACTAAAACGTCCAACGTCTTGTTATTATTATTGTCCACAATGCAATAGAAAATACATAAATCGTAAATATATGACGTCACATATGAAAAACGAATGTGGGAAACCGGCAAAATTTAAATGTTCACTTTGCAGTTATGGATCGAAAAGAAAATTCAATTTAAAACTTCACATGATAAGAATGCACGAAGAAAAAATGTTTTTAGATTTTCAATTAAGAAAAATAAATATGGCCGGATATCATGCTTAATTATTAAAAAAATTTTGTCCCCCTCCCTCTTTTTTTAAATTTTTAAATGTTCATTAAATTATTGTGATAATTATTAATTAATGGTTCCTCATACATATGAGTCTTGCCATATTTATTTTTAAATTAATTTTTTTATTATAATATTTAATATTAATTGTGATAATGATAATTTTATTGTTTTTTTTTTTATTTTCATTGATGAATTATTAATATTATTATTTATTTTTATCTTTTTCTATAAATAATTTTAATGTTTAAACAAATTTTTAATGTTCTTCTTCATGAATGATAGAAATTATTATTATTATTATTATTATTATTATTAGTATTAACAAATTAATTATTTTATGTAAATTGAAAATTATAAAACTTTACCGTTATTAATTATTATTATTTTCATTATAAATAAGTTACCATGATTTGCATTTATTTAATTTAAAATTATTTATTTTTTTATTTATTTATTTATTTATTGATATTTTTTATAATGAATTGTAATAAAATTGACAAAATTTTCAAAGTCATTATTTGTTTTATTATTTTCATTATTGTTATTATTAATTATTATTAATATTTTGTTATTAACATTATAAATAAAAAAATGTAATAAATTATTAATTTTGTTTAAATTATTTAATAACAAATTTTAACAAAAAAAAAAAAAAAAAAAAGAATAAATGTAAACCGTACCTGATTGTTGAATCATCTAAATAATCCTTTTTTTTTTTTAATTTAAAATTAGAAAACATATTAAAATAAAGAAAAATGTTTTTGTTTAATGTTTCCATGAAGGTAAAACATAACAAACATGCAAACATTCATTAAACCATCAGTTATAAAAAGTAAATAAAAGCAAAACATGTTTTGTTTACATTTGTTAAGAAAAATGGCGCGCAAAATTCTCCCGCCATTTTATTGTTTACTTTTATATCGTTCTTTCACTTACAAGTAAAAAAATTGTTTTTTTTTTTTTGTACTTACCTCATGTGTATTTTCAGGTTATCCAAATTTTACTCTTACCTGGACAAAAAGAGGAAAACCGATGATAACACATAACGGATACGATTTAATTTTACATAATATCGATAAAAAAAGACCAACGAGACACTGGAGATGTAGCAGATGCTGGATGGGTTGTAAAGTTCGCGCCAGATTAGTCGATTATAAATTAGTTTTTATATCAAAAGCTGCACATAATCATCCACCGAATATTTTAATGACTTGTTTCGATATATAATAATCACACAATTCATTTCATTAACAACAACAACAAATTATTTTATTTATTATTATTTATAACGTGCCTTTAACCACCATAATTTATTACCATAGAGTAAATAACACATTAATGAAAACATTGGAAAAAAGAAAAAAATTTAATCGTTGTCTGTGTTCTTATTAGTTTAAACGTTAATTTTAAATTTCAGTACAAATTTTTATTTTATTTTTAATTTTGCTTTTGTAATCGAATAATTATTATTAATTACTAGTCTATACGTGCGTGTAAATATTATTTTTCAACAATATGTAAGTAATAAATGATTAAAATAATAATTTGAAAGCAAAAAACCTGTTATAACGTTGAAAGCCTAGTTTTGTTAATTACAAAAATTATTATTATTATTTTTTTTTTTTTTTAATAAATCAATGCCGTAAAATTTTTTCTTATTTTATACATGCGGTATATATATATATAATTTATTTTATAAATAACATGTTATATAATTATGTAATCAAAACATATTAATCAAATATTTTAAATATA